ACCATCATTTCCTTTCCCTTCTGTTCACCAAGACAGGCTCTAGGACAGCCCATGGGGAGGGAAATCAACTCTACTTCTTGGTGGGAGAAGCTAGGAGTCACATTTCTAAGGGCACATACAAGGAGGCGAAAGAATTGAGGCTGTTTTCCAGTCAGGCTGCACAGGTCTGGGGCAGATTTGACGTCTCTGAGTATCATTATTGTCTTATCTTGTTACTGCATTTCCTAAAGAAATACCTGGGTAATTTATAAAGAAGTAGAGGTTTCTTCAGCTCATGGCTTGGAGGCCTGAGGTCCAGGGGTCAACTTTTGGTACAACTGCAACACGGCAGAAGGCAAGATCTTTTTTTTTTTTTCTTGGAGAGGTTTTTGCTGTAGGGCGCGTGCACTAGCTAGAAAGACAGAGAGAAACAGACAGAAAGCAAGAAATCACCCCCCAGGGGAATGGCCACGCCGCAATCCCTTCTCCTCCATTCTCCTCTTGGGATCTTGGGCATGCACACACACACGCCTGGTGTGAGTTTAAGCCACTGGCTCCAGGACTCAAACCGCGGTCAGCTACATAGGAGTTCAGCGACATAGCCATTACGCTAACTGCTGGTCCCTAGAGGGCAGGATCTTAAACAGAGAGAGCAGTTGCCTGTAGTTTCTTCTGCTTGTTCTGGTCTGAATCCATGTCATGTTGCCTGCCTTATTCCATCTTACATGTACACAGCAGAAATTAGTGTGTGTGTGTGGGGGGGGCACCCTAATGACTATCACAACATGAAGATACTAAGTTTTCACTTAATACCTTTACAATACAACGAGGTCCACCATGTGAACTTTTGGGGAATATCCAATCACCAGATTCCAAAACATGAACCTTTGGAAGATAAACCATTATCCAAACTGTAACATCTGTCTTGCCTGTAATCCACAGGTGACTCCACAGCCCAGGGAAAGAATGGGAGTGAATATACTTTCAAACTAAAATTCAGTCCAACAGTTCGAGTGACACGAACTAAAGGGCACTGGGCAGGGGCATAAAATCTTATCAAAGAATCTCAAACATCTTTACATAGATGCTGGTGGCTTAAGCTGGTACTAGGAGATTCCATGTATAAAATCAGAAAGCAGCAAATCTTAGGTTATCAGGAGAGTCATGATGTATTTCTCTGTTTTTCTATGCAAAAATGCATCGTTACTTTCCGAATGATCCAGTAGTTCTGAGCTTCAGAGCTTGCCTTACATTAGCCCAGCCCTAGTTCATCATATGTAAGGCTAAGGACAATTCACAATGGTTACGGCCCCACCAACAGTCATCAGCAAAGTTGAGAACCATAGCATTGTCTGTCTTAGGGTAGAAATTGTCCTTGTCGAGGCTGGCAGGTGGCATGGTGGTTAAGAGTTCTGGACTCCCATATGGCTAACTGTGGTTCGAGTCCCGGATCTGGTGGCTTGCTTTCTCACTTTCCCTCTTTCTCTCTCACTGGTCAAAATTAAATAAATAAATAAAGTTAAGTAAAATAATTCTTTAAAACAAAAAAGATATTGGTCTTGTCTCCATATTTTGAAAGATGCACGTAAATTTACACCAAATCATATTACCACATGCCTGAGTTTTCAAAATGTCCTCTTACTAGTTAAGAACTTTTCATTTCTGCCCTCCTTTCAGTTCTGTGCTTATTTTAATAATATCCCTGACAACATTCATTGAAAGTCAGTCCCAGCATTTGCTCCGTAACGATCTTCCTCCCTGTAAATGCCAAGCAGACATCATTGCTGGACAGCCTCTCAACCAGATGCCCGCCCACTCCTGCCCACTTCTGGCCAATGGGAGCAAGCCACTCCTGCTCACATGGAGATGTCCAGAAAATGTACTTTGTCGTTACCTCATCATGTGTCTGAGCATTCTGTCAGGAACACCCTCTTTCTAGATCCATGGTGCTCCCTCTCGGTAGTTCTGGGCTGCAGGGTTGGTTTTAATTGCTGCGTGGTGCATAAAGGAAGAGGTTTCTAGGATAATCAGAACAGACCTTACAGAAATAAAATCAATGGACAAAGCAGACTGCCAGCAGCCTTCTGCAGCCAATGCTCTGCTAAATGCCATTTGAAACATCAAGTAACCTTGAATTGGATACCTTGACATTCTATCTCTAATTAACAAGATGAGGGTCAGATTTTCACTGTGCTCACGTGATCCAGGTGAACTGGCCCTCCTGCAGCGTGAGGGACAGAGGCTCAGAGGGAACTCTGGTTTTCAGACTGAGCCTCAGGAACACCCTTTATCCCCCTGAGTAAGAAGGGTTCCAGAGGGTTCTCTGTCCTTTGACCCTGTGGTGTGGAGGACTTCGGCAGCACCAGGTGGTCTCAGTCACCCCACAGTCAGGCCACCGTGTGGGAGCTGTGGCTGAATTTTACCCAAAGCCGTCTTCATCTTAAAACCCGCTTAAAGGCTAAAGGCAGACAAATCCTTCTTGAAACCTGAGCCTGTTTTAAGATGTCTTTGCTAAAATCCCCTCTGAACCATTAGCTGTTATGTCATATCATTTCCTTTTCCGGAGAGGAACATTCTTGGTGATTACCGCTATAAGGAATTATAAGTCTCACCCTATAAGCAGCTCTGTTCGCTTGCCCGTGGTGATAATGTGGTACTAAGGCGATTTTCTGAATTTCTACCTGAGGCGTTTCTTCATGTCACCCCAACTACTAAATTCCCTTTTTTCCCTTTGCCTTTCCTGAGTTAGCAATGCTGTTTGGGACAGTCAATTAGGTCTGGGTTGATCCTTTGAAGGAAGGTCAGTTTGGGGACAGGACAACAGAATTTCTGACCAGACTTTCTTCAGAATGAAAACGTGTATCTCTGGACATTGTGAACTTTATTTTGTAATGGTATTGTGGATTGTTGTTTACTTTCATAACCCATGTATCCAGTACCCATATACTTCTCAGGATTTAATTCAGGAAGTGGAAAATGCTATGTAATCTTAGATTCTAATTAGTGTTAGCCTTTAAAATGTGTCTGTTTTTCATTTGCAAGTGATTTTCTTTTTTACCACCTTCCAATGCATAGCTCTTGAGTTTTATTATTAAAAACTGGGGTTTTATTTTTAGACCAATCATAAACATTAAAACGTTAAAGCTTATAGGGGATCGAAGGGTAACCTGAACCTATTAGATTTCTCTAGGGGAAAAAAAAATCCAATAGAAACAAAGTTAAAAGGTGGCAAATAGCTCACTGGGAGAAGCTGCCCAGTAGTTACAGTTTTGAGTATCTGTCAGAGAATGGATTGTGCCTAGGCCAGAGGTGTTGAGCGACTTTAGAGGTCTCTTTATAGAGTCACATCACCTCTCAGATTCTGTATTCCTTTGGGCTTCCAGGGAGTAGAGAATGGAAGACAGTTAACATGCACCTGCTCTGCCCCAGGCTCTGAACACTCTGAACCCTGACTGCAAAATGTTGGGTTGAGTATTACCCGTCCCATTGTACAGATGAGGAAACTGAGGTTCATAGAGATTATGTACCGTGCCTGGAGAAGGAAGTGAGGATTCAGAACCTAAGTCCAACTGACTTCAGGCACCTGGAGCTGATCACAGCAGGACCTGTGGCCTTGTATCCCTGGGCCCAGGGCGTGCCTCCCGGGCCCAGCCCTCCCTCCCCACCCCCCTACCCTCCCACTCCCATACCTGTGCTGTGAGGGCAGGCAGGGAATAGAATGGCGCATGCTCAGGGAAGGCCGTGCTTCCTTACAAAGCTGGCACTTTGGGTAATTATAGACTTTAACAATAGGTGGCAGTGCCTACCTGTAACAGCCCAGGTTAAATCAGTACGTTTTCTGTCTCACTCTGTCCCTCTCTGATCAAATTATAAATAAATAAATAAACTTAAATGAAATAATTCTTTCAAAAAAAAAGAAAAAAAACCTTTGGGCTGTCTGAGTTCAGGCACAGCAGTAATGTGTTGCTATAGCGATGCTGGGTCCATGTGGACGATCGTGAGTTCCGTTCTCTGGTCATCCCCTATATGCCGGGCACATGTGCTTATGCTCCTGGCTGGCTGGGAGGGCTGGGGGCTTGGGGAAGAGGGGATGCAGCATGAGACCCTGTTGAGAGTGCTTGTCTTTCTCTGTTTAATCTCTCTCACTTTCATGAAAGAGATTGACTTTAACAAAAAAAAAAATCCTTGTTACTACCAAACAGTATTGACGTGTGCTCAACTTCAAAAGGTTGGTACAGAGCACTGGCTCTGCAGTCTGGCTGAGTGTACAGCAGGGCGGCGGCCGGCTACCCTTTATGACTCATTTCCAACATGGCTCCCGGAGCGTGAGGGTGCACCACACACGTAATGAGCTCCCAAGAGGGCTCTGTCTTCAAGGCTCCCGTGTGCAGGAGGCCGTCCGTAGATGCCGTTGTGTCCTAAGCGTGTGCCTTTCTGCCTAGGTGTTGTGTGTCCTTACATCTTCGAGGTGAGCCTGTGGTGTCTCTCTTTCTTAATGACATAAATGAGGTCCCTTTGTTGGCTTTTGACAACTGCCTTAAATAAAGGTTCCCTCCAGACAACCCTATATTGTGACTGGGGGGCAGGGGGGCAGTCTTTAGAGAACTGAGGCCTTGAGACACTGACTGTAATGAGCTTCTTTAAACTGCACCCCTGGGCCAGGGCCCTAGATGACCCAAGCAACCTTATTTTGCCAAGAACCTCATTCTTCTTGATCAACAGACCTGTAAACTCAGTAATTCGACTCATTTTTATTGGGTGCTGACTACATGTTTGGTGTCATACTGTGTGCTGTGATACATGGCTTCAAATTATTTTTCACTTGATATGAAATTGGTGTGGGAAAAGCTCATATAATATTGGAGAATCCTCTAGTAAAAGTTATTTATAAGGGAGAATAATGTTGGCCCCTTACATCTCCATGTGAAGAACACACACAACCACTCTCAGCAGAGTCGGACGGTTGGCCGCAGCCAAGTACAAACAGCCAACAGCATGAGTGCCTGTGTGTTTCTGCCCAGGCTGCAGAGTGGGATGAACCTGCAGATCTGCTTTGTCAACGACAGTGGCAGCGACAAGGACAGCGATGCTGAGGACAGTAAGACTGAAACCAGCTTGGACACCCCCCTGTCTCCGATGGTAAGTCCACACAGCCACTAACTGAAGCTTGGTGTGGTATTTTATATTGTGTGGGGTTTATTTTCTGTTGGGAATCAAGAACACTGCAGCAATTAAAAAAGAAAAGTCTCTTGGGATTGCATGTTCCTATGTGACAATGACTGAAAAGTCAGTCACGATATAATAAGGAGACATAAACTCTGTTGAAGTTAATGTCTATTTTCATATTAAACCATAGGAATACTCAGATATGATCTAAAATGTATCAAATATGTTAAATATCAATCCTTTCCCCATTGGGCTTAGAAATATGAGCTCGTTCCTTTCCTGCATGTTATAGAAGTTGGCTTAATAATCATAGGTGCTTATTAATGAAACTCTTTCCTTCCCTTTCCTATCTCTCTCCATTTTTTATGCCAGAGGACATGTACACATGCGAGAGAGAGAGCACCTTCCTCCAGTTATTTCATCCTCTACGACCCTGGGCACATGTGCATGCAGAATTTTTTTTTTTTTCTCCCAAGCTATTAGGGCTGGGATTTGAACCCTGGTTGGCCACGTAGGATCCAGCTTCCTCTGCATGGCACCTACCACTGTGCTATGGGGCTAGTCCTATCTTTTTTTCTTTTTTTAACTGAAGACCAACAAATAGGAAAAGATGTTGGTTTCTGAGAGCAGGGCAATGTCAGAATGTGATTAAATATCTGAGATTCTATTCTGAGGACTTAGAGTTAAATATGTTAGTGTATTTAAGCCCAAGAATCAAGAAATGTCTTAAGTTTGTCATACATATATTTTTCCTGTTGTTAATTATACTGCTCTCACTCTTTATGCTAGAGTATATTATAAAATAGAGTTTAAAAAAAAAATGTTAGAGGGTACTGTGCTCACCAGAAAGACGAAGGGAGAAACAGAGAAAGCACCCCCAATGGGATTTGGTCATGCCACAATCTGTTTTCTCCATTTCTTCATCCCATCAGAATTTTGGGCACACACACACATACTCAGTATATTTTCCAAAATGTCAGGGGCCAGGATTCAAACCATACACAGCCATGTGTGTCTGGCTCCTATGCACAGCACTTAAGCCCTACACTATGGGAGCTGGACCTAACATAGCCTTTTTTTTTAATGTTACCTGAGATTTGTACAGGTCAAGTCAAGCAACAAGTAGAGTTGATGGCGGAAGCTCTTAGCCACTCTGAGAGAAGATTCAGGGCATATCCTAGCTCATCTCTAAGAGGGTTGTGACTGGCATCAAGAGCTCACACTGCTCTTTTTCCCTTACAGAGCAAACAGAGTTCTTCCTACTCTGATAGAGACACTACTGAAGAGGAATCCGAATCCTTGGATGACATGGACTTCCTCACAAGGCAAAAGAAATTGCAAGCCGAAGCCAAAATGGCCCTTGCCATGGCCAAACCAATGGCCAAAATGCAAGTAGAAGTGGAAAAACAGAACAGGAAAAAGTCTCCTGTGGCTGACCTTGTAAGCAGCAAAGACTGATATAGCAGTCCTTGGGGGCTGCACGAGGTTGAACCCTGTCCCAGGCCCTTCCCAGCGTAATGCGAACTCGGGTTTCTCCAAGACAGTTCATAAAACGTACTGTCATGGAGAAATAATTCAGTTCGCTTCTTTTTCCTTACTGCGATAGCATGGGAAGATATAGTAAACTGATCGTGTTTCATATCTGCTCTCCTTCTTGGAGGCAATATTTGAATAGTTGTCATGGAAATATTTACATTCCTTTAAAGCAGTCTCCATTTAAGAACCTATTGCTTGTGGCACACTCGCAATTGCTATCTTTGTCCTTCCCACCTTTCAATGAAGACAGTATAGCATAGCAAATAAGATCCTTAAGCTTTGGAGTTTAGGTCTAGCTCTGCCATTGACCTGCTGTGGGGTTCTGGGCAAGTTACTTAGGTCTTGGTTTTCTCGTCTGTAAAATGGCAGTAATAATGCCTTCCTCAGAGCATGATTGCGAGGATTTGGGGTAATAAAATATTCAGAGCACAGAGCACAGTGCATGTACCGTGGTATAAATTATTAAGCAGTAGCTGATTTTATCAACTTTATCCATGTCATTGGTATTACTTATGCTCCCTGATAATTCATTTATGGCTATAATAATTGACTCACTGTTGTCACCGCCTCTGTAAAGATTAACCAGAAAGCTTTTGATGCCGGCAGTGCAATGCATTGATGCCGACAGCATATTAG